CTTTCTTTTAAAGGCAAACAGAAGCTGCAGGATTGGGTTGTTTCTACTTTCAGTCTTAGAATGCTGTTTTCTCAATCTGATCAGTCGCCCTCAGCCCAATTCAATAACCTTTTTTTAATCTCTGCAGAAACACCGAGATAAGATGGGCTCGAGTCTAAATGGTACTCATCCAAAAATGTCCTCAATCTCAGGATCTCAATTGCACAGCTGGGTTCTGTTGGTCACATGTCAGCTTCAGAGCACATCTGTTCATTCCTCAAGGATCCACTAGGCCCCATGAACACAATGTGCTCTGTGTAGAGTACTTTACACCGCAAAACCCAGCAGCTGCAGGGGTGAGAAAATCTCTACTTCTCAAGTTTGTGTCTCTAGGCAGTTTGAGTAGGGTGTTTTCTATCTGGCTTTCTTTTGGTTGCCTGTCACTTCTGACATTCAGACGCCTGTTGGCAACAAAGTTGCTTTTGCTATTCTCAGGACAGATGTTTCTAGCCTGGGAAGAGACGGACCAAACTTTTACTGGAAAGTAGGAACTCTTGCCACATTCAGGCACCAAACCTGAGAAAACATAAGACAGATCCTGGCCACAGGCTCAAGAATGGAAAGGTAGGTCACTGCCAGGAAAATAATGTCCAGATCTGAAGACTTTTAGTTTCAGCATTTAGGAAAAATATTTGTGTCAAATCTTCCCATCTCTGCTGGTTCACAATGGGCAAAAGACACTTTCTTAGTAGGGAATGTGAGAAGGGTACAGACACCTCCACCTCACTTTGAAAGTGACATCTTTGTACTGAAGCCTTTTGAGAACTTCTGGTCATATGAAATAGAGAGAGAGACAGAAGGAGAGAGAGAGAAGCTGAGGGGAGACCCATTCATGTACTTTTGAAACTGTATGCATTGGAAAGGTTTGTATGTTAATGAGGTTGAGTTGGAATACCATGAGAGTGGTGCAAAGAAAATGAAGATACATCAAAAGTGAAGACGTTAACCATGAATGACTTTACGTCACAGTCTTCATTAACCTGATTCATAGCAAATTATTGTAGATCAAGAATGATATTATGAAGTCTGCTTTTACAATCCTCAAAGGCCTCATTGCTAGTTTTTGGAGGAAGGAGTAGTCTTGGGTCAACATGTTTAAATGAGATGTGAGGGACAAACATAGCTTATAATATTGTAACTAGGTTTTTTTTCTCCCCCGCAGGAATGTGTCTATATTTATATAGCATAACCTGTTAAATCTGAACCAATGGCTGCAAATACAGACCACAGAAGCTTCTTTAATAACACACATACACCAAGTCCAAAATGCTCTACTCTGTCATTCATGTGTAAATCAAGTATATTATTCATATACTTCATCAACTTCCTGAATGCGTGCTAAAAATGCCAAGGAAAAACTCGTTAATCGTGACATGGTGACTGCTCAGCCAGCTCTGAAATGTTGATGGAAAAGAAAAATTGTCAAAGGGCCTTTATAAGAACTTCTGCAGGTTACACTCGCAAATCGGAATTCAGAGAACATGAATTTCCTCGCTCAGGAAGGAAGGATTAAAATCAAACACCCTCCAGTGGTTGCATCTAAAAACTGCATAGTTGCCCCAAATGGCTTACGTGTAAAAGGAGTCTTCCTGTGTACCATTGAATACCCAGGATCCAAGTCCCAGGTCAGTCTGATGGTTGTATAATCTCAAAAAGATTACAATGAACTTCTATGGACTATAAAACCTCAGTCCATCCTGATGACATCTTCTTGGGTGTTTCTACAGTAAGTTCTTCAAATGCCAGGGTATACTAGGTGACAACCTCCTATCATCTCTTATGCAGTCTGTTATAGTCTTCAACTAAAATCTTGTAGTTTTGAACTAGGAAATATGGCTTGTATAATCCTCACAGCCCATGGTCAAGGAGGCTATTCAGACCTGTCCATGATACACTCAAACAACTAACCGATTTCAATCAATTTAGCCAAATAACTAGCTGACTCAATAAGGTATAAAATATTTTACCACCTGTTTGACTAAATTAACACAGCAGGTTGGTGCAATTGACATGTCAAGTCATCAAAATGGACCATCATCTGAGAGCACTAACAGGACACAATTTGGGGTTGCATCTCTCTTGCCCTCGTTCTCTCTGGGTCTCACTCTCACCCATGCACGATATCTGCGTCTTTACACAATAAGCAAATGTCATCTACTGAGTCTCAAGTAAATTGGATCTCCTGTGTTCCGTGTTGTCACCATTTCCCTTTCTAATGTGCACAATGGCGAAGCACAGTTTCCAAGTTCAGAAGAAAGATAATGTTTAAATGTTCAGACATGAAGGCTGACATTTTTCAGTCACTTAGTGAAGTTGATAAAGACTGCTTATTGTGGTGCTAACAATTTTGGAACACAGGAAGGCAGAAAGGCCGGCACCACATTGAGTCCTACTGCAGATGACTTGAGATAGAATAGAAATTCCACTTTGGTAATGATATCACTTTAATACAATTTAGGATACTATCACTCTAAAGATTGATTTTGCAAAATTTCTACGTTTACCAAGATGTTCTTGGCAAAAATATACAAATTCCATATTAATCTAATGAATTAAGCCAAAAAAATACTAAAGAAGTATTTTTAAATTTTCATCAATGATTGATCAACTCCTCATAGGTATTCTTTCTAATATTTGAAGAAATAAAAGTAATATACTCATTAGCCTGTTTTAAGGGCTGAGACTATTCCTATGAATTACTCACTTTCCTTTTTCTTTCAGTAGAAAGCTCCTTTTTAGCTTTCACATTCACCTTGTTAAAGAAAAATGCCTTTCAGATACTATCATGCAAAAATTTTAATCCTTACGTATTTCATCCTCATTATTTCCTCCTGTCTTAAACCAACACTGTTCAAGCAAAATCAACAAGCATATATGAAGCATCCAATGAGCTCAAGTATTCTGCTAGATGATGACAGGGGCATGAGGATAAATGAGATATAGTCCTTGCTCTCATGAAGCTTACAATTTTACTGACTAGACAAAACATAAACAGATGGAAAACTACCTAAAATAATAAAACTATACAAAATATTACAGGAGTGCAAAATTTATAGTCAAACAAGTGATTAAGCACCATGAACTCAAGGGCCGGAGAAATTATTGTGACTTTTCACAGAGGCAGTGTTATGGAGAAGGATAAATAGGATTTGTAAAGTTATAAAAGACTAACATTCACAAAAGCACTGCAGGGGCACACAATGTATATCAAAGGCACAATTTGGCTAGAGTGGAAGGCACAAGTAGGGCTAATGTTAGGAGACAAGTTTAGGGGATAAATCTAGGCTTGCACCAGACTGCAGAAGTGTTTAGTTAAGGGTTATGGATTTTACCCTATAGGAAATGGTGAACAATTTAAGGTTGCTGAATAAGGGAGTGACATAATAAAGGAGGTATAACATATTAGTGGGACTAGATGGATGAGAGGAAAAATAGGGAAAGCAGAGAGTAACCCATATTGCAGGAATGTGGTGATTAGGATCTATACGAGAATGGCGGACGTGAGAATGGAAAAGATACAATGGACACTGGATTTGGGAGAGAGAGACAGAAGAATAAAAAATGACTCTGAGGTATCAGCACGTTCCTTGGGGCTCGATCAAGGTACAAGGGGTATTTCAAGTCATGAAAATGAAGGAAATTACAGAAAAGAAAGAGTGGAGGACCATGGGAAAAAGTTTGGGGAATTTTTTCATTTGTGGTGCAGGGAAGTAATGGACCAGGAAACATTGCCTTTTTTGTTCCTTTCTATGCACATGTAAGTGTGCATACTCACATACACACACAAACATACATAGACACACATTCACTCTGAGAAAAGAGACAAATAGCAAAAACTCAGTTGTTTCAATTTGTGTCCTGTCAGTTTAATGACCAGGGTGGACTCCTGATAATCTGAATAAATGTTATTGAGGAATAGTGTGATATAGCCAAGTGCAAACTACAGTCAAACAGATCTAGCTTCTAATCCCCAGCCCTGCCATTTGCCAGCTGTCTGACCTTGGACTTGTTTGAGGCCTTATTTCCTCATCTGTAAATGTCTCCACTGCTCTCTCTCCGCATAGGAATTTTTTATTGTAAAGATGAAATGAAATATTGTATGTGAAACATTTTAAATGCTGCGAAATATTGAAAAGATAAGCTTTTTACTTTTATCAAATGTGTATAAATTACCAAATTCTAATTTGTGGTCACAGTTTAATCTCCCCCTGCCCCCAAGGATACTAACATAGACACATATGCAAACTAATTGTAGCACTTTTATTTTCCCTCAATGGCATTTTAAGCCCTTTGAGGGCAGGGACCATATCTTAGGCTTTCCTGTATTCTCCTTACACTTTACTCTGTATAGCACTCTGAACATTTATAGGAAGAAAGTATATATTTTTACTTGAACCTGAATTTATTCTGAAAGCTCAAATATAGCTTTCAATATGTAGCATAATTTAAAAGTAGCATTCAAGCCCACATAGTCCAGAACCTCTTAAATACACAGTAAAAGTGCTATACCCAACGGCCTCACATACCTATTTAAGTGGATTTTTTCCTATAAATCTGGAAATGAGTAACAAGGCATAAATTCAGAGTTATTAGCGACAACGATTGTAGGTAAAACCAGAAGCACAATGACAGACCAGCTTTGGAACTGAATTGCATTGAAATGACTGACTTATACAGATTACTTTTTAAAGGATCATCATTTTCTTGGAACACTAACGCAATATATTAAAAAATACTATTAAGGCACAATTTTAAAACCATAACTAAATTTTAAGTGAGCGTGCCTTTCAAAGAATTTGGATATTAGAAAGTCAGAACACAGACATTCAGGAGAAATTTGAATTTAATAAGATCTCCTGTGAGAAACAACTATCTAAATACATGGCTCTGACGTTTGAAGCCTCCATATCACTTCCTAAAAGAAACCAAACTTTTTAAACAGAAAACTTGAAAGTACTTACTTCCACTTGGAATCAAGTCCCTTTCTGGGATGAAGAGTTTATATCCATAGTGTTTTTCCAGGACGTCTGGCAGTATTTCAAGAGCAAACTGCTCTTCTTCAGGATTGTCACGGTCTAAAGTATCTTGGTCCACTTTGGTGTAAGAAAGATAGGCATCATATTCCTTGTTGTCTTAAATATAAAGAACAACAAAAGTGTTGTACGTATTAGCAGGTTCTCTTTAAGTACTAGAAGTCTAAAACCACTAACAGGCTGTAATAAGCACTATAATTAATGACTATTGTTAATAATTGGAAAAAATAAGTGACATGCCATGTTATAAGAAATATAGTACATTTCAAAATAACCTAGTCATATGATATGAACTGAAACTGTTGTGCAATGAGCAACCTATAGCAAGGACAGAATAAAAGAAAGAATTATTATTTGTGACTTTTGGTGACTATACATATTTGTGATATTCAATGATGTGTGAACGATTAGCTCAGTGTGTTTGAATGCAGGACTAAATAGACCAAAATCATGGATTTGAACTCTTTCTGTGCCAGTTGGCTTGGCTCTGTCACTTCGTCACAGACTATACCTTGTTTGCACAAATATGTGCAGAGATCCAAGAGGGGCTGGGCCTTAAAGTGTGGAACATCGAAATAATCCAGACTCACTCCTGGAGACACCACTCATCGCACATGCCATACTTCCAGTTGGTTAGTGTCATCATCTTCATATACAAAAAGCAGTTCATTACCAAATATTAGAGACAGCAGCTGGGTTTTATACAAGTGCATTGCCTGTTATTCTTGTTCAATCCATGGCCAACTAATTTGACACAAGCTTCCAAAAGAAGCCTTTGTTTCAAAATATACATCTTTCCAGTATTGCCAAATTAGGTTTTCCCTTCACACATTTAGTCAGAGTTAACTGTGCTTTGAGAATGTATTTTTTCCTCCTTTGCTGTATTGGCTCAGCGCCGGCATCTCCAAAAAGAAAATGTGCATATATATGCATTTTTCCTGAAAAATATTAATGAATACAGCTACTCAAGGTATTAGTCCCCATTGGTTTTAGATGGGCCACATCGGAAAAGTTATAGTGGTTTTAAAAATTCGTTATTTACAGAAAAATTATTTTTAAAAGTTAGTGTAGTGAGCATAGACTCATATGTAATAAATACTATTAAATGCATACTATTAATAAACACTATTCGTATTTATTCAACCTAGTTATTTCAAATAATAATTTTAAAAGACAGGTAAACATTTCAGGATTTGTTTCTAAAACACATCAATATTTTCCATTAAGAGACCTGATTAGAATATAGCTAAAAGCTGACCAAAAGGTAATTTACAGAAAGAAGCAGGCACACACTTACCTATACCATTAATGATTTGGTTCTACCTGCTGAAGGAGGAATAAATGATAGGCATATAAAGAGATATAAATACCCTATGGTAGGAGTAGGCAGGACCCCGGACTGTCTGGAGATATCTGAAGCAGGATTATATTGTTCAAATTCTAGTTAGATTCTAGTCTTTACCACCCCCACACGAAAGAAACCCTGGTTTTTATGTTAAGATGGTGTCTGAAGCCAGGAGGCTTCTCTTTAGCATGTCCTCTGGCTGGAAAAGGGTTCCATAAACCTTGGTCGGGTTACTTGATTGCCTAGAAGCAGATGCACATGAAGGACTGCCCTTGATAGTTGAGACCATTTGGCTTACAAAAGGGGCACATTCCACTGTTATGCATAAAACGCCACGTGGAAGCGAGAATATTCATAAGCAATGCTAATGTAAGAACCTCCTGGTAATCTTAGCACCTCTGCCCCGTTCCAATCACGCTCAGGATGCACCTGCAGGTCCTTGACTTTATCCAGTTATGATTACTCACTTGGGACTAAGAGCTGCTGATAATACACAGCTGGAAGAATAAAAGAGGCCAAAGGACAAATAGCTCCATTCCTGTGAGCAGAATGCATTTCATTGTTCTTGGTGGACGGTGTTGCCGCCTCAAACTTCATAATGTCAGACTAGACCCTCGTTTCCTTTGACATTGATAAGTTTTATACCTCACAAACCTCCCTAAATTCAACTACCTATTAATTCAGTCAACAATGATTTGTTGAGAATCTACTATGAGCTTGCCATCTGCAGTGACTACCTGACATGTTCACCCATCTGACCTGGCCTTCTGGACTCTTGCCCCATTGCTTGTCCTGACTATGACTGTATGCCTTCCAATCATGCCTAAACTCACATATTCCCGGTCCTATCCTTACTTGCTTCACCTATATCCTAATATAGGTGACGCTACAAAGACCATCCTCTAGAAAAATATTGCCTATTTGCATATCACAAATCAGATTATGACAAGGAACATGGATGTGTTTGAAATGTGTTAACACCCAAAACATGTGGATAATAAATTTTACCTAACATTCTAGAGGCACATCATTTTTGGAAAACAGTTGCCTCTGATTTTAGCCATATCCCTTTAAGATGAACTAAAGGTGAAGAGCTTATGGTGGCTGGCCAAAGCAGGAAGAAAGCTCTCAAAGCCACCATGTCAGACGTCCCAAAAGCTCTAGGATGCCAGCTAGTGAGCAAGCAGTGACGCAGATGCCACAGCTTAAAAAATGCACTTCAGCCTTATGTAGACAGCCAAGAAAACCTCATGAATAGCCACAGCTGTTGCTCACAAAGAGGAGCAAGATGGATAGAGCAAAATCAACAACATGATGCAAATAAGGTTAACACCACGCCTGAAAATTGTTTTAAAACCAAATGGTAATTCAGCGACACCACTTTTCTAGGCAAGGCTAATGAGCCTTCCTCTGTGTTAAATCCTCTGACTAAGCTCATCTGAGGAACAGGAAAATAGAGCACAATGCAGACAGAGCATTATAAGAGCGCTTGCATGAGGGTCACCATAGCTATGCTGTTCCAAATGAAGAGAGAACTTATGAGAAAGCGAACCAAACTGTCTGTGGAAGAATTTTTCTGTTGTCACACCTGTGCTTCCCCATTTTTAAATCTCATTTTAATCCTGTTCACTATCAGGAAGCTGCTCCTGTTTACAACCCAGTTCTTCTGGGGCTATGCTAAGAACAGTGCTAAATCCTTAGCTTCTAAAGGCGAAAACTGTGCAAAATTGTTGATTATTATATCTCTAGTGCCTACTATAGTATCTGTGTCTCTGTGTGTGTGTAGTGTTGATCCAGATGAATATAACTAAATACGTCATGCCTAGTGCCTGCCACATAATAGACATTTAATAAGTACTTAATGACTGAATAACCCAAATATCGAATAAATGAAGCAATCATTGTTTGGTGGATTGAAATGAATTATATCGAAAAATGGCTAGGAAGTCAAATTTGTTGGCTAGATTTTATTTTATAAAAAATAAGGCATCTTTATAAGAACTTTCAGGAAATGCTACTATAGATATAAATCAAAGAAAAAACATGAACAAAAAGTATACGGCTAAAACGAAGTTGCGTCTATGAGATGCCAATATATTTAAATGAAGAAATGAAAAATTCAGTAGGTTATCTTGCTGACATTTGGCAGTATGAAATTGGATATTTCTAAAAGGGCTTTAATATTCATTTATTCATCCTCACTACATACCTCCTGTCTTTTTAGTATTCCATTCAGTTAGTACGGAGATTGTATGTTTAAGGTTCAAGTTTCCATGTAGAAATATGAAATATTTTAACTTTCTTTCCTAATGAGAAGCCTTGAATTCCCTCACACCACATTGCATTTTTACCCCAAAACAACTGCTTTGAAATCAATACATACAATTCTCAAATCAAAAGGCTCCAGATTAGTTGTCATATTTGATCACACAGGCTACATTGGAGATACAGATCCAAAATGGACTCTCTGATCCTGGAATGTCCTATGATATTAGCATGAATTTAATCTTACAAATCTGTACTACAACTAATCAGTTAATCTGGATTATTGAGTATGGGTGATGAAAGTAATTAATTATTGCAGAGTAACTGAAATTGTATCATCTCTTACAGAGAATATTAACAAATTGCTTCTAATCAAGACTCAAAACAAATGAATCACAGGAGCCCCCCTTTCATGTTCTTTCACATGGACAATGCATCTTTTACATTCTCAATTGGATACTTTAGCCACTTCTTGGCACCGGGCAACCAGTGACATTTTCCTCAACACTATATTTCATCTAATTGTTTTATATGCACAGGTAAGAAGTCATATTTTTCTACATTAATTGTTGTATATAGAAACTAGGGATAATTGACCACGTTTTCATATATTTTTTTGGAGCATATAATTATGGCCAGGAAAGGCCCTAATTTCTCATTTTGAAGAAATGTTTGAATAAGGGTCTTTAATACTTTTAAATGGGCTGCTATAATAGTTGGGTAAATACACTCCTTTGATAATAAGCATGCATATGTACTCATCAAACAGCATTTCTCTAATTTACTGTGAAAACATAAAAATCAATTAAAACACACTCATATCATTGCTTATATAACAGTAACAATAAGACCAAAATCAAAGATTTCTTTAAAATTTTGATGTTATAGTCACCGATCTGCCTTTCTACTATCACTATAAAAAGAAAATAAAATAATGAACCTCTCCTTTGAGGTAAGACCATGATCTCAAACAAACCAAGCAAAAGCTCTAACTTTCATTATTTCAATACAATGAAAGCTAATATTTACCTTTTGACCCCTTTTTCTTTACCTTTTGAACCCCTTCACCCATTTCTCCCACCCTAAATCTGCCTTTTTAAAGTAATGACTTACGATTGGACATTTTTTCCATCTTGGTTTACCTAAGGCATTCCACACACGTTTCCAAGGCTTACAGTAGTCTGTGGGTGAGGACTTTATGTATAAGGAATCACATGTCATGATTTTTTATTTGTATTGATTGGAAATATGGTAATGTGTTTTGAAAAAATTAAATCATTTTTGGATGTTCAAAGAAATAAGGCTCAATACAATGCTTTATTGATATTTCATTCATAAGATTTCCAAGGACCATAAAGGGCTAACGCAAAAGAATTATAAGCCACATTCTGAACTTCTATCCTTTCAGGTCACTTTTGAGAATGATGCTATAATCATCCAAAATGTATGGGTCCAGATGTACTGTGATCTTTAAAAATAGTGTTTTCATAGCTTTTAATTTGTTTCTTGCATGATTTGTCTGTGTTTGGTTTTTTTTTTTTTTTTGATGCCTGGGGTGGCTAAAAATGATCTGTACCTAAATTTGAATTTTCTGGAGGAAAAAAATGGAATTTATTCTTAATTTGTTTCTTAGTAAAAGAAAGGACTTTGACAGCAATTGTTTTATCTCTTGACCAACTAATGTCTCCTTGTTAAACTTTTTATTTGGAAATAATTTCAAGCATACAGGAACATTACAAAAATAAAACTATTTCAAAAACACCTATATATTCTTTACCCAGATTCACCCATTGTTAATATTTTCTCCCCTTTGCTGTTTCTTGATAAATAAAATTTTTCTGAACTATTTAAGGATAAGTTGCATTAGGCATAGCTGTTTAACTCTACATATTTCAGCATGTATCTACTAAGAACAGGGATATTCTCTTACATAATCACAAATTCATGCCTTTTAATTGAATGGTAAGAGACAACTTACCATCAGTAGTTTCATCACCTCCAAAATGCTGTCGGTAGAAGAGCATCAGTTCAATGTTGTAGCATTTGTAGACGACCACGAGCAGTACAAGGAGGAGGAATATTGCTCCCAGGCCTCCTGCAAGCTCAATTTTGTAGATTAAGTCTGGAACAAACAGAATAAACAGGAAAAGGCAATTAAGACAGTAACACTTGGGATCTTCCCATACTTCTAGACTGTAAGATGTACAACTCATTCTGCTTTTCTTTCCAGAAGATTCTTGCTTAATGCAGTAAGTAGCTTTGTTCTTGATACATTTGTGTAAATCAAATTCTTATAACATTAACTCTCTTCTAAAGATTCCAGTAATTTTACTATTGAAAGTGGTAAGTCTGTCTGAGAAGAAACAGTCACTCCCAATTTGTTTTCAACATGTCTAGATCTCACATACATACTTTTGCTTTAAATGTACTTCAGGGAACAATTAGAGCTGCCTTTTTCTAGTGCAGGGCCAATATTTTGTTCTTACTGTTAAATTATCTTATTGGCTTAGCAAGATTACCATCTAGTACTTCTCAGGCCACGGGCCCTATTCTTCTACAGGAGAAGAGCATCAAAAAATTATTCTCAGAATCAAATAAAATCTAATGAGCTTGCAGGATTTAACTGTTTCATTTAACCCCAGTAAAACATAATCTAATAGAAGGTAAGCAGGGAAAATTAGCTTATCCATTTCCCCTACTTATTTGAATAAATGACTATAATATGTATGTAATATAATATGCCCAATGGGGCTAAAAGAGAATGAGAAATATAGGCTAATCACTTGGCTTATTCAGCTAACATCAGGCTACCTGATAGCAGCCTTAGGCTGCTCCAGTTGGGCACTCGTGGAACTCTGAGAGTTGGAACAACTAAATCAATACATAATGGAAGGAGACATAATGTATCCCAGGCTCAAGGAATAGTGAATTACCTGTAGCCTAATTAGTGACATTAACAAATCTAGGGTGTATCATCAAAACAGCAGATAATATCATGGAATTTAGAGAAACAGGAAGTCAGAGAATTTAGAATGTGAATTCAGCAATGTCCAGAGGAGAAATGCTGAGTATGAAAGACACCATACCAGACACATATTTTCCACTGTGAGGCAGGAACATCATTGGTCTCAACATAATATAGATAAAATTTCCTAAAAGATTAGCTAACCTCCCCTTAAGCTAAATCCATAGTTACCAAGTGACTCTTTTATTTCTAATTCAGCTTACTGTGTAACTAGAAACTGGAAAAGAGAGTGGTGTCCTGGTTTGTACATCAGTTGTTTGTGAGTTTGGTTGGCATCAATCAGCCTCTCTCGATGGATCAACTCTGGGGCACTGTCAAAATCAAATTTCTGACCATGACAGACTGCCATTCTTGAAGGTCTCTTGACAACCAGATCGTCAACTTTTCCCTGGGAATGTCCCTTGTTTCTATATAGGCTTATTGCTTAAGAGAAATTAGTCAGGCTCAATATAACAATTCAGATTAAGAAAAAAGATAAACATATGCAATATATACTACAAGTAATACATATTATAGATAAAATGTTCAACCAGTCTACAATCTATTCTCTAAGTAATCCTTTAGGGCAAGAATTGTTGGTCCAAATTTATAGATGAAGAACCTGAGACTCAATAGTTTAATTCAATTACCCAAGGTCATACACCAAGATGGGACTTGAGCCCAGATATCCTAACTTCAAATTCAAGGCTCTTTTTATTATACCACAGCTTTCTAAGCTCCAGCCTGGAAAGTGACAATGGAAAGCCTTCTCCCTATTCCTCCACAGAACTGTTAGTAAGCTTCTTGAGAACACGTGACTTGCAGTGAATTTTGGCTCCTTCCACCTTTTCAATTCCAAGGAAAGAAGCTAAACTACAATTCACCAGGCAGAATGAAAGGACTTAGCAGAGGTCAGGCCCTTCATTGGAGGGTACTCAAGTACCCTATAGCTGTACCATGGAGGAAGGAGGGGCTCCCTGGAGTCTAGCATATGAAGAAAAGTTTTAGGTTTCATGGAGAGAGAGGGAATTTGCTCTTGGAAAGGAGGTGAAGTGAGAGAGGAGACGGTGGTAGCCAGAGAGAGCATGGCCAATCAGGAGTGTCACTGAGTGGAAATGGTAAGAAACATAAATAAACATCACTCTTTTTGAATAAGGAAAGGGGAGAAGGATGGAAAAAGGAACGGAGTGGAGCTGCTGTGAGGGGAAAAAAACATGTTAATAAGGAACATTATGAGGGGACACATAATAGGTAGATAGGGAATTGGAATCTATCTCTGTTCTGCCTGCTGCAAAAGGTGGTCATTTTGAAAATTTAACCTCAAAATTTCAGGTGAAAAAAACAGTCCTACCACACATTAGTTCTGCCTCCTGCCCTCTATGCAGAAAGTGACTCCCCAGGAACCACTGCCTGCCTCTATGTGAGAGGTAAGGCAGGCTTGCTTATGAGACCTCCGTAGGACTGCAATATCACAATCTTCGCTTGTTTTCTCATCATCTTACATCAGTTATGCATTCTTAGCAGCCAGTGTTAAATTGACAGAGCAATATGATTTTTTTTCTGATTCTAAAAATGAGTTTCCCTTCATCTTAGGGCATTGATTGACTTGATTCAACATGTTTGTCCTGCTATAAAATGCACATTTTATGTTGTAAATTTTTTGAACTCTCTCTCTCTGTCTCACTCTCTCTCTCTTTTTTTTCTCCCTCTGTCTCTCTCTGGTCAGAACAGATTTCAACTGTTTTCAAAGTCACCAAATGGGAATTTTTCCAGCAATTTCTATGTTATTTACAGAGTAGAGTTGCTATTAGGTAGATGGAAAACTTCAGCAGCAGGAACAATTTGTGCTCCCAAGTAGCAGACACCTTTTTCAGCAGTAAATTTATGGAAGAAAACTGTGGTGTGAAAAGTACCTTTGTGGTTTTGTGGTCCATTTTATAAAAATGCCTTTGAAAGATATTACCTAATGATGACTGTTTACATTGAAAACCGTGGACCTAGTTCCTGAGATTCAACCAGTATTCTTTGATTTAGCCCAGGAAGTCACATTAAAAGGGAAGCATGCATCCTATAATCAGAGGGCAGAATTGCCATCACTCAGATGACACCTGGCTTTTCTTTTGTCTTGTTCTCAACTGCCGTTTTCCATCTCAGCAGGATCTATACTTCTAGGGACATTTCCTGGCTGAGAAGGTGAAAGTCATTTATTTGGACTGTGCCTTGTATATACTTCACAAGGATAGCTATAGCCAGAACAGCAAATATTTATGGGATTATAACTTTTTCTAGGCACCCAAAGTACAAGTGTAGTTCTTTTAAACCTTCTTAGTTTGAGCCCGACTATTTTGAGCACAAAGATCAGACATTGCAGAATGGGACAAGTAGCAGTTAAAGCCAAGGGACCGGACAGAGGGAAGGCTGGAAATGTTTGAGCTTGCTCATAAGTTAGGAAGCAGGTTGGGAGATCCCACCTGAGGGTTTCCTCTACAGGTTGGGAGTTCAGGGTGGGGCAGTAGCACTGGGAATGAAAAGAGGAAGAGAGATTCAGTGATATGCTCTTGTTTGTGGGAAACTATGCACAGAGAAGAAATAATTATCAAAATTTGTTTAATATAAGTTCAGAGTCTTGATTCACTAAAAAAAATAAAACAGGGATGGACTTCTTACTGAAATGTTAGCTGTACTTGTTGACAAATAGGACATCAGAGAGTGTGGAAGTGGTAGGTGCATGTAGAAGATGCATAAGTAAGGAACGACTTGTTTTGAGAAAGCCTGACCCTGTTAATTGGAGATATTAGACATGAGTTTTCCTTTTTACTTTATGAAAGGACTCATCAAATGTTTCTTCTCCACAATGACCGTTTAGGGCGTTTTCAATATTGGACTTACAGCTCATCAGAAAGTTACTGCTCTATATACTCATATTCCAAGTGGAAACACTATAGCCACTGAGGCCAGGCTATAATATGATAAAACCTGAAAGGTTTAACTCCAGAGGAAATATCCGAAGTTTTGCAAAACAAGCCTGAGCCAAGTCTGATTAAAAACTTTGGAACAGAGACTTCTTGCTCTTTTCTGGAGCTCCATCATATTGTCAAGAGCTCCTAAGGAGACTGAGTGAGGAAAGATGAACTGATCATTTTCCAAAGCACAGTGAAAAAATTTAACTGCTACCTAAAACAGTGCAAACTGGTATACCGTGGGCCAGAAAAAGGTTTTGTTGGTCTATACGATGTTTCAAAAAAGTGGATACTAATATTTAAAAATCAAATGATTTCATAGTCTTTCAACGTCACTTGAAAACTCTGAAGCTGTCCTATCCCTGGGTTTGCATTCCAGCAAGCATGGCAATAATCTTCTAGAAAAGAGTAGTGACTATTTTGCTTATCCTAATAGCCAGCCCAATAATTTTAATATCTGCCTGGCCCCTGAGGTCTCTGAGTTTTCAACCTCCAATGTGGAAAGTGAAAGTCTTTGAAAAGAGAAATGCATTTAGATAACCCAGGGCAGACACTAATCAAGACAAGATTGCAAATAAATCCTCTCTTTACCAATACTTGTTATCCATCCCCCACCCTATTGCACTGGTCCTCAAGGAGGAGCATTTTCATGCAACAAATATTTTTGAGCACTTACTATGTTCTATGCACTAGGGGTACAGCAGTAAGTAAGATGGAAAAGGTCCTTGTTCTCATAGAGTTTACATTCTAGTGGGGGGAAAAGATGAGAAGAAAACAAATATAATGTGATATCAAATAGTAATAAATAAAATAAACAGCAATAGAGGAAAGAGAAAGTGATGAGTAGTCCATCAAGAGATGAATGGATCAAGAAAATGTAGCATATATACACAATGGAATATTATTCAGTCTCAGAAAAGAAGGAAATCCTCTCCTTCGCTACAACATGGATGAACCTGTAGGGCATTATGATAAGTGGAATAATCCAGACAGAGAAAGATAAATACTATACTGCATGGTATCACTTATACGTGGAATTAAAAAAAAAAAGTTGAAGTCACAGAAACAGAGAGTAGAAAAGTAGTTGTCAGGGCCTAGTGGGTGAAGGAGGCAATAGGGAGAGATTGGTTAAAAGGGTACAAATTTTCAGCTATAAGATGAATAAAGTTTGAGGATCTAATTATAACATGGTGACTATAGTTGATAACACTGGATTGTATAATTGAAATTTGCTACAAGGTTAGAATTAAACGTTCTCACCAAAAAAAAAAAAGGTAAATATGTGAGGTGATAGATATGTTAATTAACTTAGTAGGGGGAATCCTTTTACAATGTATACATATATCAAATCATCACATTGTACACTTTAAATATCTTATAATTTTATTTGTAAATTTTACCTCAATAGAACTAAAATAATTTTAAAAAAGAAAATGATGGGTAGTACTGTTTTATATGAGGTGGCCAAGGAAGGCCTATCTAGTAGGTAATATTTAAGCAGAGATATGTATGAAAAAAGGGAGTGAATCATGCAAACAGGTCAGGGAAGAGAGTTCTAGGCTGAGGAAATAGCAAGTGCAGAGACCATGAGCCAGGATTGTACTTAGTGAGCATGAGAAATAGAAAGGAGGCTAATGTGTGTGATGCTTGAGGCAGACTGTGGTAGAAAATGAGATCAGAAATGACGACCAATTGAGTCATGCTTTGTAGACCATGGTAAGAATTTGGGACTTCATTCTAAGTGCAATAGTGAGGGTTCTGAAATTGGGGGATTCTGATTAGAAGAATGATATAATGTGACTCACATATTAGAATCATTCTGGCCGCTGTCATAATAGACTGTAAGGGGACATAGGGGATGCAAGGAGACCAGTTAGGAGGCCATTGCAGTGAGCCAAGCAATTGATGCTGGTGGTTCAAACTAGGATCGTAACAGTGAAGTGGGGAAAGTGTTCATAGTCTGGGTATGTTTTGAGAGTAGAGCCATGGTATTTGCTGTTGAAATAGATATAGCATGTGAGTAGAGAAAACAAGAAGTCAAGGACGACTCCAAGGATTTTGGCTTGAGCAACTAGAAGGATGGTGATGGAGATGGAGTAGGCAACTGCAGGATCACGTTTATAGGGAGAAGAAATCAGGAATCCTGTTTGGGACGAGAAAAGCTTGATATGCCTACCAGATATACCTGCTAGTGGAGTTTTGGAATAGTTGTTGAATACATTGATATACAACTCTGGAGTTTAGGCTAGAAGTCCAGGCTAGAGATATAAATTTGGGAGTTGTCAGCATATAAATGGTAAGCAAAACCCTGAGATGGAGATGGAATGAAATCATCTAAGGAGTGAGTGAGAAGAGTGGGCCTGAACCTTGGGGAAATCTAATATTTAGAGATCAGGAAGATGAGAATTAATCTTCTCAGTTATTCATGATTTAGACACGTTTCCTTGCAGAAGCCATGGGAGGTGGCAGTTTTACAGTGTGCCTTGGTTTCTAGCATCAGATTATTAGAAATTTTAAGTCTGGCTAGTGGTTGTTTTATTCATTTAAGAGAAATAGATTTATTTTAAAACTCAAATAAGGCTATTTCTATCCACTAACTGAATAATAGGACCCCCCATTATTTTTCTTCATAGCAAGTTTTTACTTGTTACGCTATACATCTTCTGAGTAATTTGTTATTTAATGTTTAATGTTTGTCTTTCTTTGCATCCTCACTTCCCTGAGGACTATAAGCCCCTGTCTTATTCAGCACTCTACTCACTAGTACCTAGAACAATGCTTGCTATACATGATCCTCAATAAGAAAAGAGAACTATATTCATTTATTAAGCAGAATGGGTTCTAAGTGCCCATTAGTCATCAGACACTGCCCAAGTTGTTAAGGATACGGAGGTACAGCAGACCCTGGCTTGAAGGATCTCTGAGCCTAAAATAAGACTGAGATGGACAGGAACAAAGTGATCCTTGCTGCGAGGTATCAGGACATGATCAACGTCTGTCCCTCATGTAGGGGGACTAAGTGGTCGCCTAGTGCATAGGAAAAGTTATCCAAGTTCTATATAGTAACAAACACTGTTTGAGCATGGTATTTCACACCATATCATTATCATTTGAGCCTCAAAGTGACTCTACAAGGTAGATATTATTACCCTTATTTTACAGATGAGGAAACTGAGGTTCAGGATGTTTAACCAGACGAGCTAATCCCACTGAACCAGGCAGCTGAATCAGTGGCTGAACCAGGATCTCCTGAACCAGGGTCTCCTGACTTTACTTTCTCTGTTAGACTCCTTTATACTTGAAGACTTTATTATTTTAAGACAGAATCAAGTCCAACAGAGTAAGAAGTGGTGCTAGAGGGATAAAAGCATTATTCTCAGGATAATGACATTTCTCTGCTTCTCCTAGAGCTTCTGGTCAAGGTCAAGTATTAGGGCTGGCTGGAAAATAGAAATTCCATCTTGGCTAGGAGCTACAACTACTGACCTTGCTGATTGAATCTGTTCAATTGCTCTATAGCTCAGACAACAAGAACACTGATTGAGAACATTTGTTCTTTTACATTTACAAAACCTTTGCCAGATGCACACATACAGAAAGTATTTAGCCTTTTGCAGTAATCAAGAGCTGTGGCAGGATAAGAGACAATCTCAGAAGCTGCTCCAGCTGCTGGGATTGTTGTTCCTATGTCTCCTTATATCTCCTTTATCTGTAAATTTAGAGTTTCTTTTATTTGCTCATTATATACAATTTCCGCCCCATCTGGAATCAACTCTAGAGAGAGAGCTCCATAAATGCCAAATTGTTTAAAAATATATACACCTGCTAAAGGCCTCAACACCAGGTCATACCATGAAATATTGTGTATAATCGTTACTTTAGAAATTGTAAGAATATCATATACTATTCATTATTGTTATTTACAATTTAGTCTGGGAATAAAAAACTTACTGTTTCTCATCCAATAATAAAACCCCTAATATTTCATTTAAGGGATGTAAGATGAAGGTGAAATACAGAGAAAATTTTGACTGTCGAACCTATCAAATTTTAAGTAACATTTATAACGAAGGTACATTTTATCTCACTGGATTTAACACATAACAATATTTCATTTCATTCATCCACTTCCTAATGGTATGGAAGATCTTGGGCACTTTATGCTAATATTCACAGCAAGAGATATTTGGTTTTTTTAAAAAAGATAAAATATTTAATAGAAATTTATACTAAATGATAAAATAAGGCCAAGAAACATAACTAACTTCAATAGGTACTTGGTAGCTAAACAAATCATAATGATAGTTATAAAAATAAATACCCTTTTTACGCAGCAGAACACTGGCATGTTTCCGTCCATTTCGGTTTTCCACATGGCAGGTATAATTTGCTAGGTCAGCCTCCACCACTGAATCAAAGATGAGTGCCAACTCAACTTCTTTTTCTCCAAGATGCTCTTTAAGGAGCCTGAAATAAAGACAATATGTTTGGCTGAATTGGTTTGATATGGGGAGAGAGCAGCCATGCAAAGGCTGCAGATGGTTATGTAGCTCACACAAGTCTTCAGTGGGCATGGGAAGTCCTGACTGGGTGTATGTGCAGCATCTTCTACAAGAAAACACAAAAAATGGCTCTTGATGTGAATATTACATGGCACATGAAAGAGGCAAGGCATTCATTAAGCAAAAAGAAATATTAACATGCCACTAGGCTTTGATAAATGAAGCCAACACGATTTGTGTGGCAAAAAGGAGGAAACATTGGGCTCTATATTCTGTGCTGGGCTTATGAAAAACAAACTGGATTTTTGCGCCATGGCATGTAGGCAAAAAAAATCTGTAGGAGTGTAGGTTTTGTGTTAGAGGTTAGAGTTTTGACAACAGGGGGTAAGAAGGTACAGAAAGGGGCCTTGAAAATTGTTGCCTTATGAGAAGTAAAGTGAAAGTGGTTAGTGGCCTTCTACCCCTAAATATCAGTGAGAAGCCTTCTCTCTACTTTTCTCCTGCCTTTTGTCCAATGCAGGCATGTTACCTGTGCCCTAATGATGCTAGCCCCCCACCATGGCCTTGCTTTCTCCAGACACTGATCCCCATTTGTCTTTCTCCTTTCCTCCCTCACAGGAGAAATCCTGCATTTTGTGACATTTTCACATAGTCCTGCTTTTTGCTTTCCCAAGTGAAGTTGCAAAGGGCCTTGAATGGCCAGGAATAGGTGTTCTTCACTGAGGAGCTGAGTGGCCAGGAACCTTCCCTGAGGAGCATGTCTCCTGTTTCTTTGAAGAGTTATATTCTCACCAATGGCTGGTTGCCTCCTGGGTGAGGTGAAAGTGAGTACCCTGCTGACTTTTCTTTTCTGTCTCCTCCTGCTTTTTGACCCAAGAAAGAGCAAATCGTGAGTATACACGGTGGCCATCCTGCCGTTAAGTTCTTGGGTGACATTCTTAAATACATGTATTTGCGAGCAAGAAATATTTCAGATGGCAAATTGGGGCACTAGAAGCAATTCTCATCTCCTTTTTGGACAACTGGTCATGAATGCAGAGAAGGACCCTCTAATTTACTGGCATTTAGCATAAAATTGGAGAAGACAACTATGCTTATAGAAAACTCTGTTCTAAGTACAGGCTTCCCACTTACAAGCTCAAGCTGGATCCTTACAAAGGCATTAACTCAATGGTACCTTAATTTAACGCATCTTTAAGTTGGGAAAAATATCTACTGTACTTACCTTAACTTTGTTGTGAGTATAAAATGGGTTAAAGTGATTTAAAAAGTAAATAGCACTATGCACATGCAAAGGAATGTTATTAAACATCAACATTTCATTATCCAAAGGTAGATTGTTTACATTTTGGCTCCTCCAAAAATATTTGTATTTACATTTATTGATATTTAAAACTGGCTTGGCTTAATCTCTTCTGGCTCCCCTGTGAGAGAAGGAAGGGCATAAGATTGGGTTGGTGGAAGAGAGTTCCCAGAATCTGAAAGTCTCCCATACTGAAATCTGAAGCCCAGATAATATTCCAAATAGACATGCTTTTAAAATTAACCCTGTTTCTGTTCCCTTCCAATAATAATCATATCTGAGTTGATAATGCTGGCATTTGTAACTTGAGTAACTCTCCTTTTCCTGCCCTTTACCTTTATGTACCATCACTGAACCAGACAAGAATAAGAATTTTTTAACCACATTTCACTGGTACTCTTTCTATTAATTTTTTTTCTTTCTGGCTAAAGTTGTAGCTTTCCTCTCTTTCTCCTCTCTCAACATACCTAACCAAGGAAAAAAATGGGAATTTACTGTCTTCACGGTTTATGTTGAAGTTTGCTCTCCATTTTCTCCCTGCTATGGATAAATCCCACTACACTCAATTCTTTTGGTCCTGTGTAACCTGCTATGGAAGAACCCCTTTAGTGCCAGAAGCTGCTTAGGCACCACAAATTAAGTCTGATTTAAAGCTTCATGTGTAGGGCACCCACAGCCTCTGTCAGGCATGAGACAGAAAGCTGATCCTGTCCCTCCAGACCAAGCCTTTGCTTCTTCATTTCCAAGGCAGTTTCCAATAACAGGTTTCTTCACAGGCTGCAGAAAGAATCTGGAGAGAGTATTTGAAAAATGATCCTCCATCCATCTATTAATATATATGAGGTGTCTTAATTATCAGCTCTTGAAAATCTAGAGGTGACTTGCTTTTTTGGAACGAAAGGGCAAGTTGGTGTTTATGTCTACAAATGACTCTGCAGAGCAGTCACAATTTCTTAGCAAAGGTTGATATATACCAATCTATCAATGATCTTTGTCAATTCCATGATAAGTGCCTAGCTGTGGGCTAGATATTTGGTATAAGAGAAATATAAGCATTAAAAGACCTGGTGCTTTCTCCCAGTGAGCATTAAAGTTTAAAGGAGACAAGATCTACACAGTTGAAAAAAATATATAGAAAGAACAAGGTAAAGCAGGGTGGTACAGTCATGCTTACAATGGGATTTAAAAGAAGGGAGAGACTATTATTGACTAAATTAGCTGGAAAAAGCTTGACAAGACTCTGCCTAGACAAAAGGAAGAAGGGAGAGTTTTCTAGGAGGGATGATAAGAGCAAGTCTTTGCAGAATGTGTGAAAGAGAGACACTGAAGAGACTGGTTTTGGAATGAAGGATACAAATGAGGGGATCCTGGGATGTACTTCAAATAACTTCAGAAGTATCTCATTCCAAGGATTAACATTGAAGGCAAATTCTACATAATAGTGAACACTGGCAAAACAAAAATAATAAATTCAGGTGACAGAAATCACTACCTTCAAAAGTTTTATTTAGTTAAAATTATTAAAAAGTAATACTAGAAAAAGTTTGGAAGTTGTTACTTTCATCACTACAACAAGGAAAAATATGAACAAAGTGAAAATCAATAAATCTTCTTAGATCCATCAGAAAACTGATGTCATAGGGCAAATTACTGCCCCCCAAAACTTGAGATAGAATCAAATACTGAAAGTCACAGTGTACTGGGAGCAGAAACCAAGGAGCAGGAGACAGGACCAGTAGAAACACTTACACTGTAATTGACGAGTCACTGCAGGCCCAATATGGACCAGCTTGAGAGTTACAAACTCCATGGGATCTAATATTAGGGGTCTCCCACACTTTTGTGAGTTTTGCTTCCAGGAGCCCTACCAGGGTCTCACACTGAAACTTAGGGAAAGTTCTCTTAGGCTTCTGGTGAAGGAAAAGGAAAAGTAACTATCTTGAAATGAGCCAGAGCACTCTGTTCTCCTTAACAAAGGCCTGCCCTCAAGGTAAACTCTTTTACAAGAGTCTAAACTACTTGGATTTACCAAACCTAGCTGAGGGAGGGTAAATACCCAACTCCAACCCCCTCAAGCTTTCCTGTCTCACCTAAAGAGGGGAGGAAAGCTGAGAAGCACTTGTGAAGGTCACATCCCAGAGGCACAGGCTCACTAAAAGACTAAGACTTCAAGCTAGAATTAGAGAATAGTATACCACATCAATCAGGCTCCGGTATGATAACAAGGACTTTTGCCTGAAAGAAGTGCAAAGCTCAGACCCTATTTAAGAAGCAGTTTCCAGGAAAACCCAAAGAAAACAGGGGAGACATAAACAAGTACACTATAGAAAATTTTAACGTCTTCCACATGCAAATATGGCAAACTGTAAACCCAGCCTAACTCCTAGTCATATAAATATAAAATCTCACACTAAAGGCCTAGTTACCTCAGTTCCTTTTAACTGATACATCATAATGTGGCTTTCAACAACAACAACAAAACTACAAGGTATGTTAAGAAGCAAAAAAGAAAAAACACAGTCTGAAGAGACAAAGCAAGCATCAGAAACAAATTTGGATATGGCACAGATTTTGGAATTATTGGACTGGGACTATAAAATAACTATGATTAATATGTTAAGTGATCTAATTGAAAAAGTAAACATAATACATCAACGGATAGGTAATGTAACCAGAGAGATGTAAATTCAAAAAAAGAATCAAAAGGTAATGCTAAAAATCAAAACATTGTAACAGAAATAAAGAATCCCTTTCATGAGCTCATCAGTAGACTGGACATGGCCAAAGAAAGAATCACTGATCTTGAAGATATGTAAATAGGAACGTCCTAAACTGAAATGAGAAGAGAAAAAAGCACGGAAAAAATGGAACAAAATATCAAACATCTGAGGGATAATTACAAAAGGTGTAACATACATGTAATGGAAATACCAAAAGAAGAACAAAGAGAGAAAGCAACAATAGAAATATTTGAAGTATTAATAGCTGAGAATTTTCTAAAGTTAATGCAGACACCAAAGCACAGATGCCGGAAGCTCAGAAAATACCAAACGGGATGAATACTAAAAAATCTACACTTTGACGTATCATATTCTAACTGCAGGAAATCAAAGACAAAGAGAAAATCTTGAAAGAATCCAGAGGAAAAAAGATCTTACCTATAGAGGAACAAAAATAAGACATACATTAGACTTCTTTTAGAAATCATGCAAGCAAGAAAACAGTGGAGTGAAACATTTAAAGTATTTAAAGAAAACAATCACTAACCTAGAATACTGTATCCATCTAAATTATCCATCAAAATTGAAGGAGAAATAAAGACTTTCTCAGACAAATGAAAACTGAGGGAATCTGCTGCCAGTAGACCTGTCTTGCAAGAAATTTTAAAAGAAATTCTTCAGAGAAAATGAAAATGACAGAGGTCAGAAATTTGGATCTACATAATGAAAGGAAGAGTGTTAGAGAAGGAACAAAGATAAAATAAAATATTTATTTTTCCTATTCATAATTGATCTAACAGGTAATAGTTTGTTTAAAATCATAATAGCAATAATAGCAGTTATAGGAAGAATAAGTTCTGAGGATCTAATGTACAGCATGGGGACTATACTTAATAATATGGCACTGTATACTTGAAAGTTCTGAGAGTAGATCTTAAGTAT